ATAAATATAATTTTACTTACCGAAAAAAATGAAGTGGAGACTCCTTGGACGCTCTATTCGTGCAATTAATGCCACAGCAAGTCATTTTGTACAACAATTGCACAAATAATATCCAAAAAAGAATACACAAACAGACTCAAAATCCTGGAACAGTTTCCAGACCAGACCGAGGCTCTACTGAGGCCTTTCCACGGAGCTAGCTCTGTGGTCACGTGGGTCTGATGCTCATTAATTATACAGAATTTTAGGCTTTTAATACACTTAAACAGAAGAGTGAGAAAAAAATTCACCCCCCTCACAGTTGTCATGAGTGTAAACTAGATCATTTAAACCTAAAACATGTTCTGGTACCAGGCTGTAAACATGTTTATTTCTGCTGTGAAATTGGTTTTTTTAACATGTGAGTCAATGAGGATTTGCTCGCTTCTGACACCAGCCCCTAGTGGATGAGGGTGGAACTGCAATTTTTGCCACTTCCTGTTTGCTTCATATCCAGACCCGAATTATGGAGACTTGGTCAAAATGAACATTTTCACATACCAGATAGATTGTATCAGAATTAATGCTTCTAAAAAGTGTAGAATGCCATTTAAAGAACATTTAACGTTCAAAACGTAATCAAAAAACCCAAAACATCTTGAATCATTTTTATGTAGTTGGAGACAAAATTGCTCATGAAGAAATTAAAAATGCGGGTCATTTTATCATTTATAAAATACAAGCTAACTGTGATGAAAACACTGAATTCTAAATAGTTTGAACTGAGGTGAACAAATAAAAACAGAAATAACATTTGTTCCTGCGTTCCTGGTTTATTTATTGTTCTTGTTGTTGTTGTAGTGTGATGAGATTGGGGGTTAAATTATGATCAATAAGATGTGATGATTCTACATAAATATAGAATATCGAGCTGATTGAATGTTTAACCAGAAGAATTTAGGATTATGTGCTTGTTCAGGGACCTTAAACACACTTTGTATTAATTCAGACAGAGTCAAGTATATAGTTAAAAATAAACTTTATTTTCTAGACTAATTATAATACACAACAAGCTATGAATAATGATGTGTGATGATGGTGTTAAGTAGATGCATATCAGAACCTTTGTATCTGGAAGGAACTGAGTTCTGGGTGTAAAAGAATTTGGTCTGCTATAAACTAGAGAGCTGATTATTAATAAAACGGCATCAGACGCAATCTTGTTGTGTCTACGAACCCTGATGGAGACCCCCGTTGTAGATCCGGAATGTCAGGAAGTCTAGTGGACCCCAAGGCACCGAAGATGGCAGAATAATCGCAGCACCACTAGACCGGTCTCGAGTCGTCTCCAGGTCACAACAGGCAGGAAGGTTGGTTGCGTCTAAAGCCTGGTTCATGCTTCTCCGTCAGCTCTGCAAGGGACAGACACGCACAGATTGATGGAAGCGTTTTGCCCTCATGCTTCTCCGTCTCCTGGAGAGTGTTGCAAAGCAATTCCCCACCAGGACAGCAGAGGGCGTAGCGCTGTTCTGTGGTATCCTGTCATGTATCGGTCCAAGATAGTGTGTTTATATTGTGTTTTTTTGTATATAAGAGACTTTTAACACGGACATATTTGTCTCTCATTCTCCCGCCGCTTCATGCGCTCCCCACCTCTAAACCCACGTTTCCTGTCATTTCCGTCCACAAATAAACCGCTTGCTGCGCATCTTTTCACTCCTCCAGTCACGGGGGAACTAAACGTTCATGTTTTTAGAGTTTTTTTTGCGAGGTATTCTTCAAGCTTCTCCGTGTCTGCCGCCAGTTATCCTCGGCTCTCTTTGCAATGGCGGCGCTGTAAACAACAGCGGCGTCCTGACCAATCACAAGCTTGCGTAATCCGTCTCGTTCGACGGATGTTTAAAAAAGTGGGCTCGACTCCGTACGTACTCGCGTGCCTGCCGGAGCCCTACGCAAGGACGGATAATGGCGTTGCGTGTCTCCGCACTGACGCAGACGGAGAAGCATAAATCAGGCTTAAGACGGATGGACTCTGAAGGAGTCGTAGCCGTGTCAGCGTGCAAACTGTTCCGAACTGGCCACTTCGGAGTGTCAGCTGGAAAAACTGAGTAACTCGGCAGTCACTAGTTTTTAATGATACACCGTGTTATGACTCTGGTGAATCAGAATTTGACATGTTCGTCGACGTTACCAAACATCCCTCAGAAACCACACCTTCCAGATACAAAAATGTTCCAACTCTGTGGATAAATAATCTTTAAATTTATGTGAGATGTGACCTTGACCGTAATTTATATCGTATGAACTTCGGATTCGGAAATCCAAAGTTCACTTCAACAGGAGGTTTTACTTTCCAAAACACCCTGCAGCCTGCTGCTGGGTCTAGAGTAATCCCATCAACAGTTTGGGTTTGCCTGTTTGTGTTCCAGTACGGCCATTCTGATGCTGGTGGGGTGGAGCACGTCCCTCCAGGCTGGAGCTACTGGGTCGCTCTGGTAAGAATAAAACTTTTTGGCTTTAAATAACAATCCAGAACCAATAAATATCTCTAACTTTTTTTAAATGTTAGGAGCTAAAATTTGAGTAATTTGCTGCAACATGAAACAAAAGCTGCATAAATACATCTCCTACTCCACTTTTAAAGGCCAAGTTCTCTGAGAAACAGTTTCTTATTTGGTAGGTCACTCTGAGTTTCACATGCAAGCTAATGTGAAAACTGTGTCCTACGTCTATTTCCTGCATTGACACCGAGTAAGACTGGGACACACGGATTAGAAAAGCCAGAAATATCTACGTCACACAGAAAATGACCATTCGTAGACTCACCCATTTTGGCTGTTGTTGGTTTAGCATCCAGGAAGCGTCATTTGGAATTCTAGGATGTCCAAGGAAGATCCCGCCTTTCTCACCTCTGATTGGCTAGATGGGCTCTACTACGATTGGCTATTCCCCTTAGCACAAATATGACACCAGCGACACCTAACATTCATGGCTGTATAATTTTCAATTCAAGTTTATTTATAAAGCGCCAAATCACGACAAGAGTCGTCTCAAGGCACTTCACATAATAAACATTCCAATACAGGTCAGTTCATTAAGCCAATCAGAAATAATGTTTCCTATATAATGAACCCAGCAGGTTGCATCAAGTCACTGACTAGTGTCAGTGACTATACAGCAATCCTCATACTAAGCAAGCATGCAGCGACAGTGGAGAGGAAAACTCCCTTTTAACAGGAAGAAACCTCCAGAGGATCCTGGCTCAGTATAAGCAGCCATCCTCCACGACTCACTGGGGATCGAGAAGACAGCACACACACACACACACACACACACACACACACACACACACACACACACACACACACACACACACACACGCGCGCACACGCACAGTAATTATTACTAGTTGTAATTAACATACACTTAACGTTAATGCACCAATCTTGTTAATTACTTACCTTCAAATGAAGGGAATAATCTCTGTCTGTCTCTCAGAAACACACACACGCACACACACACACGCACGCACACACACACACACACACACACGCAGTAATTATTACTAGTTGTAATTAACATACACTTAACGTTAATGCACCAATCTTGTTAATTACTTACCTTCAAATGAAGGGAATAATCTCTGTCTGTCTCTCAGAAACACACACACACACACACACGTGCAGCTGGTTTAATAAGATAACCCTGATGCTTGAGAGCAACAAGATTCATTATAAATTCACATTTTACATTTTTCAGGGTTTTAAAAATAAAAGAAACATAAAAACATTATTTAGCAAAACAAGACAGAATGATTATTTTAGAGCTAAGTTTGCATTTTCTTTACTAAACTGCCCAAAACAGCTGTTCTGCTGGTGACAGGACAGTCTGCACTTGGCGAGGGAAGACGGTTTGCTGCTAAATGATAGTAGAACCCTTCTAGCCAATCAGAGGCAAGAAAGGTGTGTCTTCCTTAGGCATCCTACGATTCCAAATGACGCATCTGGGAAACAGCAGAGAACATCTCTGCTAGTTGAAGCCAACTGTTAGCATTAGCATCTCCACCACACCGCAGAACTCCTCCAGGCCTGGAGAGAAAACAGAGCTTCCCTTACATAGGCTCAGCCGTGGCGCTGCGCCCCACCTGGACAGGATTTCTAGGTGCAGCCAAGGTGTTGAGGGGATCTGTTTTGGTGGCCTAAGGATTGAGTTTTGTTTTGCTTCTTGGTGTCTTTACAGGTTATAGAGAATATGTAGTGAAAGAAAAGAAACTTAAGACATAAAATTGTTGTGATTTTTGTGTTTTCCAGGAGAAGAACTCTAGATATTATAACTACACTCTGTCTGTGAATGGGAGAACTCAGAAACATGGAGCTGACTACAGCAGAGACTACCTGACAGACGTGCTGGTGAGACCCCTAATCAGTTATGATTAATGTAGTCATCTTCATGTAACCCTTACATGAGACACTCGGATTTTTCACCTTAATAAGTAATGTATTGTGGGTCCTGAATTAGACGTGGAGTTTCTGTGTCTCAGGCCAACATGTCCCTGGAGTTCCTCCAGTATAAATCCAACTACCAGCCGTTCTTCATGATGGTGTCCACGCCGGCTCCCCACTCCCCCTGGACAGCAGCTCCTCAGTACCAGGACCGTTTCAACACCACCAAGGCCCCCAGGGACCCCAACTTTAACATCCATGGGAAGGTGGGACCCACTTAAGGAATTAAACAGGGTCAGGTCACAGGCAGGTGTGATTTAATAATGATTGCAAATAAAAAAGCTGAATCATGACCCCATGAAAGTTAAGATGGGACCTTTTTAAGAGCTGATAATGAAGTTTATATTAGCAGTTCCTGAACTTTCCAGCTTACTATCCATGAAATGAACATGTAGAAAGATCAGAAAACCAATAATATGTTAAGATGCTCAAAAAGCATTCGATTGTGTGATGTGGGTGTGTTTGGAGGACTTGGTCAGAAGCCGAGCACAGGCGTTCTGAACCACCTGTAGACGGTTCAGGGAGGTTCTGCTCAGACACGTGAAAAGAGAGTTACAGTAGTCTAAGTGTGAGGAGATGAAGGTGTGGAGAACTGTCTCAAGTTCAGAGCGGGACAGAATGGGACTCAGCTTAGCAACGTTCCTGAGATGGAAGAAGGAAGAGCGAACAAGAGAACTGACATGAGAATCCAGGGTGAGAGCTGGGTCAAAGGTCACGCCAAGATTCCTGACAGAAGGTTTGGTGTGGGAAGCAAGCTGACCAAGAGAGTTTCTGACTTTGGGAACCAGCTTGTCTGGGGCACAGATGAGGATCTCAGTCTGATCTTCATTCAGCTGAAGAAAGCTCCCACCATCCAGGTTTTGATAGAGTCTAAGCAGGTGTGTAACAGCTGCAGCTTAGACATCTCATGGGGCTTAAAGGAGATGTACAGTTGGATGTCATCTGCATAAAGATGGTAGGAGATTCCTTTGAAGGAGCTCAGGATGTGCTGAAGTGGAAGCAGATAGAGGAGGAAGAGCAGAGGCCCCAGCACAGAACCTTGTGGGACACCATGGGTAAGAGAGGTGGTGGAGGACCTAAACTTGGAGACGGCCACAGAAAAGGAGCGCTCAGAGATAAGAGGAGAACCACTCCCAGAGCAGATCCTGATAGGCCTACCTAGTCTCTCAGCCTCTTCAGTAGCAGGTGATGGTCAGTAGTGTGGAGAGGGCTTGCAGAGGTCTTCATAGTTAACTAGTTTGGTTAACTCAGGCAAAGAAACAGGAGCAAAGCTATCTAGGATGATGGGCCTGGTTGGAGTCGGGAGAGGCGGCGATAAGGCTGAAGGAGAGATACTAGATCTGACCTTATTGACTTTGTCCACAAAGAAAGACAGAAAGTTCTCACAGTCTGCAACAGAGTGGATGGAGGCTGTAGGAGAGGCAGGAGAGACGATGCTGCTGATGTTGTTAAACAGCACCTTGGGTTTCCCTTTGCTCTGGGACACCAGGTTGGAGAAATAGGAAACCCTGGCATCTCTGACTGCAGAGTTAAAGGATGTCAGAAGATCCTTTAGGTGCAGCAGATGGACGTGGAGATGGGTTTTCTTCCACAAACGCTCAATTTTTCTGGGGTTTCAGGTATTAATTCACATCTCTTTGTGCCTCGTGACCCACAACGAGGTGGATTTGTTTAAGGTGCTTTTATACAAAAAGCAGATTTGAACATTATTAGGACATACTTTTACACATTTATGTGAATGGAAGGCAAAATGTCATTTTAACAATTCCATTATTAAAATTACAAATAAACTATCTGTTAGATGTTTTTAAAAACTGTACGTGATATGTATTTCACTTAAAAATGATTTTTAAAGCTCCTTTTATTTTGCACACAAGCATTCCTGAGTCTGAAGGATCTGCTGAATTCTTGTCTTCAGGACAAACACTGGCTGATCCGACAGGCCAAAACTCCCATGACCAACTCGTCTCTTCAGTTCCTCGATAACACCTTTAGAAAACGGTCGGTGGCTGCACACACACACACACACACACACACACACACACACACACACACGCACGCACGCACGCACACACACACACACACACACACACGCACACACACCTGTTCCTGCTCCTATTTTAATGTCCTGATGTTTTCCTTTCCTGCTCACCTGCAGGTGGCAAACTTTACTGTCGGTGGACGACCTGGTGGAGAAAATAGTGAAGAAGCTGGAGGTCAGAGGTGAACTGGACAACACCTACATCTTCTTTACCTCTGATAATGGCTACCACACAGGTGTGTGTGAGGCACATAATCAGCTGGTTAAATGTTTCACATGAAATAGTCATAAATGTTCTGTGTTTCAGGTCAGTTTTCTCTCCCGCTGGACAAACGGCAGCTTTACGAGTTTGACATCCGAGTTCCTCTCATGGTCCGAGGTCCGAACATCAAGCCCAACCAGACCAGCAAGGTAAACACACACACTCACATAAATGAATGCCTGCTTGTTTTTCTTTCAGAATAAACGTACACGTCACTTTTTGTCACAAAAGTTTATTAAAAATAAACAAAACTTGAAAACATAATGTATGAAATGAAGCTGCAGAGAAAGGGAATCAGCAGGTTCTTTATTCATGTCCCAGCTGGATTCATAGAAGAAGCACGTTTGAGTATTAAGAGGACGAGCCCTTCTGACTAAAGTCATTTGTTGCTGCTGTGCAGACACGAACTACTTAAATGTTTACGATTTGGATCGAAAATGATCTTTTCCATGGATGAACCTGAGTCACCAGCTGCAAAAGTCCTGAAGATGCTGAGGTTCCTCAGATGTGCAGCTCAGCATCAGTCCGAGAAAAGCGTTCCAGCATTTTTATGATCCAACTCAGATAAAATCACACAGAGATAGGGATGGGTACCGAATTCGGTACTTTTTAAGGTACCGACCGAATTCCACAGTACCGACTGAGCACCGATTCACGTCATTTGAAACGGCGCCTCGTTTCGGTACCCGTCCTTCACAACGAGAACTTGCCAAGACAGCTGCGCATGCGCAAGAGCGTTATGTCATCGGTCGCTGCGAGCCAGTTGTAAACAGAGCAGCATGGTAGAAAGAACGCACGCTAAAGCTTGGGTCCACTTCACTAAATGTGATGGGTAACTGGGTGAAGATGAAACCAGCGACACAATCTAAGTGAGACATCCTCATCTTAATCTGCTCCGGTAGGTAAATAAAATGTTTAAGATAACGTTAGCTTGACATGTTAGCTTCCGTTCCGCTAATAGTGCGTTCGCTTTCTCCTCGTAACTCCGAAATTTCGACTAGAAGAACATGAACGCGCTCTAAAGTTTGGCTTCACTTTACTAAATGCGACGGGTGATTGGGTGAAGATGAAACCAGCGACAACGATCTAAGTGTGAGGCATCATCGTTTTAATCTGCTCCAGCAGCTAAATAAACTGTTTAAGATAACGTTAGCTTGATATGTTAGCTTCCATTGCTACCATTGTTATCAGCTAATGGTGCGTTCGCTTTCTCCTCGGAAATTCTAACTTCCCAGTAGGAAAAATCAAATGAAAAAAGACGGCAAAAGGAATGAAGATACACAGTAAATTTAGTTCACAGTAAAGATGTTTGTTTCAGTTTAATTATCAGCTTATAAAACTACAAGGACGATGTTAAAATACAAACAGTTGTCTGTTATTTATCGTGATATTTATCAAATATTGTTATATATTGAGAAAAATACATATTTTATTATAAAAGAGAATTAAAATAATAAACACTCAAAAGTATCTAAAATTGGTACCGTTAAGTACCGGTATCGATTCCTAGGTACCGGGAATTAGTACCGGATCGATTCAAATGTCAAAGGTACCCATCCCTACCCAGAGAGACCATCTCTGTTATCAGCGGCATGAATTTATCGTGTTTGACAGATGCTGGTGGCGAACGTTGACCTTGGACCAACCATCCTGGACATAGCTGGCTTCAATGTCAACAAAACCCAAATGGACGGTGTGTCCTTCCTGTCTGCTATGGTGAGAACTTCTAGCTAGTGTCAACACTGATGTTTATTCATCTGCAGGAACATTTTAATGTGTGTGTGTGTGTGTGACCAGGAGAGGAAAGTGAACAGCAGTAGCTGGAGAACCGACATCCTGGTTGAGTACGAAGGAGAAGGGAGGAGCGTTCCGGACCCCTCCTGCCCGCTGCTGGGACCTGGAGTGTCGGTGCGATGAGAGACCAGGTCAAACGGTTTCTGATTCTCAACGTGGAGCTAAAAAGTTCTCCTTCGTCTTCAGGAGTGTTTCCCAGATTGTGTGTGTGAGGATTCCTATAACAACACCTATGCCTGCGTGCGCACCGTCACCCCCTTTGCCAACCTGCAGTACTGCGAGTTTGATGATAACGAGGTACGGACGAAAGCCGCGGTTCTGGTGACACGTTAAGTTCTGTGACGTCTAAACAAGAACTCTTCCTTTGTAGGTGTTTGTGGAAGTTTACAACGTGACCGCTGACCCGTACCAGCTGACCAACATCGCAAAGACCATCGATCAGGAAGTTTTGGAGAAGATGAACCACCGGCTGATGGTGTTGCAGTCGTGCTCCGGACCGTCGTGTCGGACTCCTGGAGTGTACGATGCCAGGTGCGTAACAGAATCGTGACGAATGAGTTTTTTTTTTTTGTTTTGTTTTTTTACCAAAAACTCATCAGAATTACACGATTTTTAATTATAATGAAAAGTTATATTTGGGACAAAATCAGGACAAAACATAGAACATGGACGTTATCATGGTTAAAGTGCAAGTGGGAAAACTTCTCACTAGGAATCTGTAATTCATGCATTCATTCCGTCTCGTTTAGGTTATGCTAATTCACTTCTTGTGCTTGTTGGTGCTCCTGCCTCTGCTGTGAACAGGCTGTCCAGAGTGCTGCAGTATGGTTTGTAACTAAAACAAGAAGGCTAAAAAGCACGGAATGATCCGGCACCCAAATATCTGTCTGAGCTGCTTAAGCCACATGTGCCGATGCGCCCGCTGCTCTGTAAACCCTAAATGAGGGGAGGACGGGCCTTTGTGCATGCTCTCCCAACCACAGTCCGCCTACAGTTGCAGTTTTTAAATCCAGGTTTAAAACCCAATTTTAAACCTGGATTGATGTTCTGTACTTGACATAACGTCACGTTATCGGCCATATTACCATTACCTGCCTTTTTTATAGCAAAGTTTTATGCTAGTTATTATATTTTATTCTACTTTATTCTATTTTTAATTATATTATTCATGTTATATGTAGCACGTTAGTACCGAAGCAAGTTCCTATTTTGTGAATTGTTTGTTCACTGACAATGGCAATAAACCTTTTCTGATTCTGATTTACGATCTTGCTCTTAACCCATTCGCTGCCAGCGTTTCTCACCGTTTTTACTGTTTTTTAAAGAGCGACAGAACGTTGCGCGCTAGGATGATGTCGACGCCAAAACAACCAAAACAAAGTGGAGACTCACCTCTTACATCAGGAAGAATCGGCGCGTTTCGAGCGTTATCCGTTCTTTCATAATCCGTTGTTGAATTGTGATCGGCAGAAGCTTTTCCGGTTCACTCCTCACTTTTTTTTACAGCAGCGGCCCAAAACGATCTCCTAACACATGGATGTTCTGCTTCCTGATCACGTGACGTGTGAGCTGTTTGTCCTCACGGTGTGGGGGCTCGTCCGACGCCCACACAGTAAAAAAAATGCAAATGACAACTTTAGTCGTTAATGGCAATGAATGAGTTAATTTGTGAAATGGTTTTTTTACATTGTAACTTTTAGGCTTTATGTGACGAACCCAGAGGTTCTGCTTAGAGCCCTGTACGGGCCTAAAATCTGAGCCCGTGTCCGGCCCGGCCCGAGGGGGTGGAGCCCCAGCCCGACCCGGTCCGAGAAGGTTTTCAGGATTCTTTGGCCCGACCCGAGCCCGACTTATTTTTTAACGTTTCATAATGTTTTAGCGAGATAGTATGCTCAGCGTTCTAATTATCTGTGAGAAGCGTTCTGCAGAAGAAAAGAAAGGAAAGAAAGAAAAACAGCATCAATGCAGCTTTTTTTTTCTAACAGAGCGTATTTTTCGAGCGGCAGATGAAATTTACGAACACCATATTAATTGGATGCGTTTGTAAATTTAATCTGCCGCTCTGAAAATACGCTCTCCGGTTAGAAAAAAACCAGCAACGAATGCTGTATTTTTTTAACTGCAGAGCGAATTTATTCACAGAAAAATAGAAAGCTGCCGTTTTCATGAGAATGAACGAATGGTTTCTGACATCAAAGTGGACATAAAATGGCGTATTAGAATAGGGGAATATGTTTCAATCAGCAGTTTGAGAATTTGTTTATATCGGCGCGTTTATAAACCACACAGACCTTAACCGAGCTAACGGTGCGTGAAAAGCAGGCAGGTGCTGCTGCGTTCAAGTGTTTCAGTGTTTTTATGAATTCGGATAAAAATAAAGGTGCCCGGCCCGTGTCTGAGATAATTACAGTGATTGGCCCGAAGCCCGGCCCTCGGGCTGTCAGGCCGGGCCGACCCGAGGGCCTAGGGCTTCAATGCAGGGCTCTAGTTCTGCTCTCTGATATCCTGGAGATCTCCTGCTGCGGACACCAGGTCCTGCAACCCAGTCGCACACCACCAGAGGCCAGCAGAGAAAGTTGTGGAGCAGCTGCATCCAATTACTCATCAGCCGTTCCTGAAGCCCTTTTAAGCCTCCCAAGTTCATTCAGGGAGACACCGCTACAGAGGAGACTCGACTCGGTATCTAGTTACTGTGATCTCCATTCGTAGGTTTTGGCTTGCTGTCAGTGTCCTAGAGTTGTTGATATAGATATTAGTTGGCTGGTTGTATCCCTGAGTTAATAAGTTTGATATAGTTAAAGGATATAGATAGATTGTGCTTTTTGCCTCCTGTTATTGTTTAATCTCCGAATCCTCCGTTTAGCTTGACTTTGTTTTGTTTTGGAGGAGTTTTAGTTAAGGAGATTTCTAGCTTCTGTTTGGTAGGTCGTTTTAGTGTTAATGGTTTAAGTTTATTCTTTTTGTTTCTTTAGTGGTCGGTTTAGTTAAAAATAGGTGTGTTTTCCCTTGTACTCCTCTCTCTGGTTAACAACAGAGAGTGCTTTAAGTTGTTGTTGGTTTGCTGTAGGGATGCACCGATCAGGTTTTTTGCTGCCGATCACCGATACCGATATCAAAGAATGCTGATCACCGATACCGATCACGTGGATTGGCTAGAAATTTTCTACAACATTATAATGAGTGCTACAAACTACATAATCTGGGAATAAAGGAAATGTAACCTAATCTAAAATGGTCTGTATTAGGGTTGTCACGGTGTGAAAATTTAACCTCACGGTTATTGTGACCAAAATTACCACGGTTTTCGGTATTATCGCGGTATTTTTTTTAAACGTGCTACATTTTCACACAATTAAATAAACCCTGTATGTCAGGAAATATTGTCCTCAGTTTGTGTCTAAATTTAGCCTAAAATGTGTTATTTTGTAATTATGTTGTTTATTTGTTTACATTTTTTCCCTTTAGTCTTTAAAATACCAATATTTGCCCATAACTTCTTATTTTATGTCTGTTTGACGTCATCATTTTAATAGTATTAGACCAGATGATACTCAGTACTCAAGTAGCGTTCTAATCAGATACTTTTTTACCCTTACTTGAGTAATAAACCCTATATCAGGAAAATATTGTCCTCGGTTTGTGTCCTTCCAGTGAGCTTTGCAGATGTGGGAAAATGCCATCAGGCAGTAATCATTGTTAAATTCATAATTATTCTCGGAGAGAGACCAACTCTTATCTGCCCCTGGGAGCCCCGTAATGCATAGCGTCATTTCAACACGGCGGTGTCCGCGACACGGTTTATATGCAGGTAGCGGCGCTGCGGCTGCTTTATATAGCGACTCGTTGCATTCTCCCTCAACCCAAATCCTCGGATCACGCATTTTAGCTAAAACGCTAACGTTAGCTTGCCTTGCGTTGACTGTAGAGTTGTGGGTGATGGTCACGCAGATGTGTCATGAGATTTGAAGCGTTGCTGCCTTTCACAGACTTTTTCTGCACGTGCTGCAAACAGGATAGCCGTCTTCTATCAACTGTCCCTCGGTATTCTTCAAATATCCAAAAGATGCCCGTACTTCCCACTTTGTCTTCTTTGAGGGATAATAAATGTCCTGAGTGCTGCCGTCTCCTCCTTTGGCCATTATTTCAGCTTTAGCTTCAAGAAAGTTTTGGTTGTAAACAACAAAGTGCGCATGTGCCGCCGGCAACTTCAGCAGATGATACGGTGGCTGGTAAGGGTCACCGCCCCTACACCGCAGCCACGCTAATCCACCAAGATAATATAGTTTTTTAAAAAACAAGACGGTTATTATTATTGTCAACCTTTTTTTTTTCCCAAAAACTAGTTTTCTTGTCCGGGGATTGGACCGCCAAGGCTCCCGCCTTGGTCTGCCACCCGATTCGCATTGCACCGGACCCTTCATGTTCCTCCTGCGGGTGGTGGGTCCACAGTTGGACGAGCCCATGTATCCGGTTCGGGCTGGGCCCGGCCGGGCCCCATGGGCGAAAGCCCGGCCACCCGGCGCTCGCTCACGGGCCCCAACCCCAGGCCTGGCTCCAGGGTGGGACCCCGGTAACCCTCCGGGCCGGGTACTCCGACTCTTCGTTTTAACCGCCATGAAAGATCCTTCGAACCGTTCTTTGTCTCACCCTTCACCTAAGACCAATTTGTCATGGGAGACCCTACCAGGGGCACTAAGTGCCCCAGACAACATAGCTCCTAGGATCATTAGGGCACTCAAACTCCTCCACCACGATAAGGTGACGGTTCAAGGAGGTCTTGTTCACGAATGAGGGTAGGAGGGATCGGGAGATCGACAGGCGGATTGGTTCGGCGTCTGCAGTGATGCGGACGCTGAGCCGATCTGTCGTGGGGAAGAGGGAGCTGAGCCAGAAAGCCAGGCTCTCGATTTACCGGTCGATCTACGTCCCAATCCTCACCTATGGTCATGAGCTTTGGGTAATGACCGAAAGAACGAGATCGCGGATACAAGCGGCCGAAATGAGTTTCCTCCGTAGGGTGGCCGGGCTCAGCCTTAGAGATAGGGTGAGGAGCTCGGACATTCGGGAGGGACTCGGAGTAGAACCGCTGCTCCTCCGGATCGAAAGGAGCCAGTTGAGGTGGTTTGGGCATCTGGTCAGGATGCCTCCTGGACGCCTCCCTGGGGAGGTGTTTCGGGCATGTCCTGCCGGCAGAAGGCCCCCGGGTCGACCCAGGACACGTTAGAGAGGTTACATCTCCAATCTGGTCCGGGAACGCCTTGGGGTCCTGCCGGAGGAGCTGGTGGACAAGGCCGGGGAGAGGACGGCCTGGAGCTCCCTAGTTGGGATGCTGCCCCCGCGACCCGGACCCGGATAAGCGGAGGAAGACGACGACGACCTTTTTTTTTACCGGGGTTTACCGCTACACCAGTTACCGTGACAACCCTACCTGATCGGTCTGCTTTGATCTATTTTGAAAACTCTGATCAAAACCGATAGGGGCGCTATCGGCCGATTACAATCAAATGCCGATCCATCGGTGCATCCCTAGTTTGCTGCTCCCTGTTTTAAGCGGAGGGAGTTTATTTAGTTTGTTTATTAAATACTCTTTTCCCCACTTCTGTAAATAAACCTTTTGAAAAACAACCATTTCGTTAAACTCCTTCCATCACAAACAGACACCGTCCATCATTGTCCATTCCTTTTTATTTTACGTTATTTTATTTTACTCTGTGTTCTCCCCTCACCACTCCTAGACGCCAGAGGGGACGTAACACTTTATCATCTGTTTTACTGATTCATGCATCTCCACTATGCAATATTTGAGCCTTTTATTGTTTTATTGGTATTTTACTTGGTTTCATTGGCTGATCGGATGTCCTTTGTTGTACCGGCTTGTTGGCTTAAGCTTGGTTTATGCTTGATGCGTCCGCGGGGTTCGCACGGCTCCGCACGACAAAATTGCGTCATTTTAGCAACCACACCCCTCCACCGCGCCTCCGCACGGCCCAAACTTTCCGCACCGCGCACCTAGGAAATTTTCTAACCACACGGACGGTCGGACTTGGAAAAACATGGCGGACTGGCAAGAACTAGTATGGCAGAGGTTCGTAAATACAGACATTTGTATGATTCAGCTCTCAGAGATCACCGTGATCAACATGTTGTTAATAATTCTTGGAGAGAAATAGCTCGCACTGTCGGAAAAGACGAGGACGCTGTTAAAAATGCTGGAATGCCATGTTGTAAATAGGGCTGTAGCGAAGCCTCGATGACGTCGACTGCTTGATTTTAAAAATTCGTCGACGTCAGATCCGGTAGTCGACGCACCGCGCCCACTTGTTGCATCCCCAGGAGTTTGTAAATAGAGGAGGAATCTGCCTGTTTTTCCTCTAGTTTGCCCTCTTCTCTGCCTTCACTAACATCTCCACCAAATACCGAAGACCGGGAATAAAGTCCGTCCACTACTAGATTCCTTTCCTGTTTTGCCCGCCTTCGTCTCCCGGCAACGGACAACAACTTCTGGGGTCAGATGCGCTGCTTCGTGTCTATCGCAGATGAAGAAAATCACCGGGAGCGCTTCTCCCTTCATTAAGGAGCTTCTTTCAGACATGAGGAGAGCTGTTTTGGTGGTAGCAGTCTCTCCTCCGTGCTGGTCTGTTTGCTGCTGGGTGTTTTTGGTTTATTTAAACTTGGTAACTTGAACTTAACGTTGGTAAAGCTACTGTTAGCATCTTCGCTAACAGCTTCTTGCGTTGGGATAAGCTGTTACGTTTTGGTTTAGAGTTCATCTTTTTTGTGGTGCAGATCTCCCTTTTATTACATTTAGAGTGTTGTGGGTTTTCGGTTTAGTTTAAAATATCACCTTGAGTTTGGTTTAACCTCCCAGTTTAGAGTTTGGACCTTTGGAGATTCTTATTTTGGTCCAGAACCCAGTAATCTTTGCCCAGTGGGACATCCCTAGTTATTTGTACTTTTGTTTTAATTCCCCACAGGCAGAATTAGTTTTATTATTCCCAACCTGTGGATGGAAAGATTTATGATTTTTTGTAGTTGTAAATAAACCTGATCATCATTTTAACTTTTAAATCCCGTTATTGTCCCTTCCTTTTTGCACACGAGCCAAACTCCCCAGGAAGAGTCGTAACACCTCTCGCCTCACGCACATGAGTGACCAAAACAAAGCAGCATGGAGACACTCCATCTTCTACCACCTCTCAGGCAGCAGCCTGCACTCCCAAGTTCTACACGTCACCAGAACATAACCAACCAACACAATAAACGCAGTTTTATACAAAATGGGAGGCCTGTAGTGTTTATTCTCTTACAGTAAGAATTTATCAATTTTTTTGAGGAATTTAGAGATTTTTTTGGTTTTTATTAACTGTGCAATAGAAAATAATCATTAGATTAATTGTCTAAATAGTCATTAGAATAGTCGACTATTCGATAAAATAATCGTCAGAATAATCGTTTTAAAAATAATCGTTTACCCCCAGCCCTAGTTGTAAACAACAGTCATTTTTACTTCTACTATGGTGTAGTGTTGGATGCATGCCGTAGAGCTCCATGCTGCCCCCTACAGTTTGGGAGAATATTGGCCCCACAGAGACAAGCCGCATGAACCATAAACGCTGCGAGATGTGAAGCACGTTCCATCCGCGAGCCGCATCACCGCGCGGAAAGTGAATGTGTCAAGCATAAACCAAGCTTTAGTAGCATTACTGTAACCTGTGAGGCGGTTGGGTCAGCCCACACGCTGTTGTTAAATGCACTTGATAAATAAACTGGTCTGGTAGGCCCTTGAATGTGAGCATCTAAACACTGAGGATCTGTTTTAGAGAGTATCACAGCACTGAAACCACCTTAGTGAAAGCTACAAAGATATTCTCATGGCCTCAGATAAGAATCTTGTGGGACCGTGAGGAGGAGCTGATCTGCAGACCTAAGAGCGGTGGTACAAATGGAGGAGTCTGACTGTTTAACGATTTGAATACAAGAAGCAGAATGTTGGAATTGATCCTGAACCGAACCGGCAACCACCGCAGTGATTTAAGTACGGGTGTAACGTCGGCTCCAGTCAGGAACCTTGCTGCTGAATAATCAGAAATAACTATGATGGTTTTTTAGGGGAACTGCACCTAAAAAGATGGTGGTGTCATTTTAAAAAAGCACAAGCAAGAATTTATGAGCAGTTGACAGAGGCTTTAGTCTGTTTCTGACTTCCTTTATATTTCCCCTCCCCAGGTATAAATTTGACCCCCAGCTGCTGTTTCCTGCTCACAGCTGGAGGCCCGGCAGACTAAAACAGGCCAAGTAAAAAGAACAGAAGATGGAGGGAGGACTTTCCTTGTTGCCTTGTTTTTGGGCCTCTTGGGTTGAGCCAGCTTCATTTACAAATGGTTGGAGGAGGAAGGTGGGTAACCATAGCAACAGGAGGACCATCTGGGTGTAAAACACGCCTTTAAAGGTAAAGTTTGGGCCCAAGCTTGATTTAACTTGTGAGATGTGCATAAGCAAACTGTGATTCTGTCATTTTATCTGTTGTCAATATTTGCTGTTTAACAATCTGAAAGGTTTCAGCTCAGATATCCCACCAGCGTTTGTGAACGATGAGCTAACAGCTAGGCACAGCAAGGTAAAATCTCCACCCCACGGCAGGTGGTGTGCACGAGCAGACGGGAAACCGATAACAACTTTAGCTGATTTTCACACAACAGGTAACTATTTATGTTCAAGTTTTAGACGTTAAAACTAAACTCGTGTGCAAATCACGGCTTCCTGCAGAGTTTTGGGAGTCTTTAGTTCACCTTGTTCACCACGTTAATGTGAAACTGCTGGACTGTAGATTAGAGTTGGGCCATTTGCATCATTTTTCCCACTGCCAACCGTCAGTCCAATAAATGACGAAGAGCGATTTATTTGTGCACGTGACTCTTTGAGCGACAACATGATGCACAAACTGATTTACAGTAGAAGTAGAAACGCTGATTCTTTTTTTTTATTCGAGCGCAACGCAAATGTTAGCTGGAAGAGAAAGTTTGATGTTTCTTTGTTCAATTTTGTATTTGTAGTTTGGTAGTGACGTATAAAGGTCACGTGTTAAAAAGAAGTTAGGGACTTCCCGTTCCGATACCGATACCGGCCCAAAGACGCTATCGGATTATATCGGACTGCGTCGTAAATCTCCGATATTAGCTGTACATTCCGCTTTAAATTCCATTCCAGCATTCCAAGTCCACGTGATCAGAACAAGCTAGCAAAGTAGCAAGAAACAATGCCGGCCATGTGGCTGCATTTTTTGTTAAAAGTCGGAAAAAGACAGCTTGGCTCAGCGCACCACTCGTCGTGCACAAGTTTCCCGTGGTGGAACGGAGCCGGGGAAGACTGTTACGTCCAACCTCATCCTGCATTTGAAGCAGGATCACGAAACACTGCAGGAGGATTTTCTCAGTGTGTGAAACTGAAACTTTAGACACTCGACTTGTAGCGGTTGGTCAGTGAACGATATTGTGTCTGAGACGTTCTCTGTTTTCTGGACGCTAAACCAACAACAGCCTTCCCCGTTGTAAGCCAAGATGGAGGAGTCCATGAATGTTTCTCAATGTCAAGGCGCCTTGCTTACGAGGACGCGGTCCTTCCTTGGTCAAAGAAAACTGTTAAATGGAACAGACTTGCATCACGTGACCGCGGCTTCCCACGGCGGTCACGTAACGTCACGTGACGCGGGAGATAACGTTATATTTTATACGTATTAGTTTCAATATAAATATATAACGACTTTTACTTTTTAAATTGTGTATATGTTTAAAAATTAAATATATAAGTGAGTTACTACCCGCCAGCCACCGAAGCTGAAACTACTAAGCAACTAACCAATCATAGATAACTTCTCTGGATCTATAAAAACATTTTAAATTAGCTGACTTACTTTTAAACTTGAAAATTGTCCCCAAAGTAGCTGCCGGCTTCTGATCCGCCGTCCTTTTGAAAATACAGCGGTGCATTCTGGGTAATTTTTGACCAAGGCTAGGCTACAAGACACCTCCCGTGTATCCTCGCTCAGCTAGCTAAACGGCTAACAAACGGAGAACACACGCCTCGGTAGAACATGAACATTGGAACACGTCTTGGCGGCTCCTGATGACATATCTCCTAGGCAACCGGGGCGGGGCCAAGACATCAAGGCAAGGTTCCTCGGCATTGAGAAACACCCCCTCCCTCCTCGAAGTGGA